AGAGGTACTCGCCGAGGCCGCTCGGGGCCCCCCCTGGCACCCCGGCACCCCCAGCCAGACGCCGCAGGTTGGTGATGTGGTCCCCCAGCACCTTGATAGCCTTCACCTGCTCATCCAGGTAGTGGGACTCAAGGAAGTCGCAGAGCTGTGGGGAGAGGGGCATCAGCCAGGGCCGGGGGAGCTCCGCAGGGAGGGGACAGAGGTCTGGGGGAGGCCTCAGGGGGGCAGGGACCCCCAGGGACAGCTGGAGATCCCAAGGGAGGTACAGGGGCAAGTCCAGGCAGAGACCCTGGAGGGGCAGGGGACAGGGACAAGGACCCTCGAGCACGGGGGCAAGCCCCAAGGGATGGGTGTGGGAAAAGGAACAGGGACCCCCCAGCAGCATCATCTCAAGAGGCAGACCCTGCAGGGGGGCGGAGGGTGACTCACGTGGGGGTCCCCCTTCTCGGTGGCCAGGTGGTGCAAGTCCAGCAGTGCCTGGTTCACCGACTTCTCCAGCTGCAGCGCCGCCTCCACCGTCTCCAGCGCCGAGCCCCAAGCATCACGCTCCGGCTTCTGGGGAGGGGGACAGGGACCATCACCCCGTGGACGGTCACCTTCCCCGTGCAGCCCAGGCACGCCAATACAGCTATGTCCCCCATTCAGCCCGGGCACCCCCAGGCAGGTGTGCCCCCCCCATGCAGCCCCAGTACCCCAACGCAGCCGCACACCCCCGTGCAGCCCAAGCACCCCAACGCAGCTGTGCTCCCCAACACAGCCCAGGCACCACTACTGAAAGACCGCAGTAAGGCCTCCCCCGAAGCCTCCTCTTCTCCAGGCTGAACACCCCCAACTCTCCCAGCCTGTCCTCAGAGCAGAGGGGTTCCAGCCCTCCGGCCGTTTTTGTGGCCTCCTCTGGACCGGCTCCAACAGGTCCAATCCCAAGAGAACGGGGTCACTTCAGAAGAAGTGAAACCCAGCAAGAAAATCAAGAGACCACCGACCAGAATTAAGGGGTTGGACTTGGGGATCGGGTGCGGGGTGGTACGGGTGTAACTGTGGGGCACGATCTGTGGCCGGGGTTCCTCTCCGGAGGCACCCAGCTCGAGCTGGCACCTGAGAACTAATCAAAGAGGAATTGGAAACCTTCCCTCGGACCCGACATCGACCAGCGGGACCCCAGGGTCAGACCCTGTTACGGTGGCCGGCACGCGTAAATCCGTAACAGTGTGCAGGGACCTCCCCCTGCAGTGGGTGTGGGTGTGCAAGGGCCCCCGTGCACCAGGCAGAGGTGTGCAAGGACCCCCAGGTAACAGGCATGGACGTGCAGGGACCCCCGTGCAACAGGGGGCTGGTGGTGTGCACGCAGGTAGCGTGCAACAGGGGGCTGGCGTGCAGGGACCAGCACACAACAGCTTGGCGGCGTGCAGGAACGCCTGTGCAATGGGGAGCGGGCGTGCAAGGACGCCTGTGCAACGGGGAGCGGGCGTGCAAGGACGCCTGTGCCCCGGGCGTGCAGGGACCGGCGTGCAGCGAGGCTGCTGGTGTGCAGCGAGGGGCCGGGATCACTACCCAACGCAGCGCTGGCGCGCGGGGAAGCGCGCGAGGGGGTGCCTGCGGATCAGCGTGCAACGCGGCGCTGGGACACAGCCCCGTGTAGAGCGGGACGGCCACGCGTTGGTGCAACAGAAACCCCGGTGGACGCAGAAACCCCCCCGTGCACCAGGGACGACTGTGTAACACAAACCCTGGCGTGCACAGAAACCCCCGTGAGCACCAGGAACAAACGTGCAAGCCTGGCCACGCGCACCGCTGCTCGGGACAAGGTTCCAGCGTGCAACTTGCACGCACGCAGACCCCGTGCCGGGCGGGGGGGCAGATCCGGAGCAGGTTCCCCCAAAAAACCGTGCGGAGGGAGGCGGGGATTTGCAGAAACACCTTTTATTTTGGGGTTTGTTTTTTTTTTTTTAAAAGAGAGAATACACCTCCCCTCCCGGCCGGCCCCCCCGCCACCACGGGGGCGGCGGGCGGCGG